TCTCCTTGTTGCTTCACCAGGCTAGAGGTTTATCAGTTGTATTGTTCTTTTCAAAGAAGCCATTTTTCATTGCTTTTTCTTCCATTTTAAAATTCGTTTATATAGATTATTTTCCTTCACTTTGCTCGCTTGGTTTGTTTTCCTCTTCTTTCTTAAGTGACGGATTTTTTCACATGTATGAATATGGAACATTGAAACCTGACAAAGTCATTTTAAGAAGGGAGAGGGGAGAATAATGGAGGGGATGAACCAAACTGGAGTACGTTGTATGCATATGTGGAGATGTCACAGCAAAACCTCCCGTATAACTGTTATATACTAACAAAAACATTAAAAAAAGAAACCTTAAGAAACAAGAGTAGATTCTAGGTAAAATTATTGACTTTATATCTTCTTTTTAATGCAGCAAATTATCCTCTAAGCACATATCTGATGTATCATATTTTCAATATCTACTTAAATATGAGTGTGTATATTATAAATATGTTTTGTTCTTTTGAACTTGAACTCATGAGCCTCCTGCTTCCAATCTCCCAAGTGCTGGGATAATAGGCCTGTGCCACCAAGCCAGCTTCTGAATATATTTTCAATTTTCTCATTGATCTTTCTTTTGACACATGGGTCACTTAGAAACATATTCTTTAATTTTGAAATGTTTTGATATTTTCCTCTTTCTGATTTTGATGTCTAGTTTAATTCTATGGCTGGAGATTATAATTTCAGTTCCTTTAAATTTGTTATGGCACAAGATATAACCTATCTTGTTGAATGCCTCTGTATACTTAAAAATAATGCAATTATTTGTTTTTTTAGAGTCTTCAAAAAGCTGCTTCTTACATTAAGCTCATGTGTTACAGCTGCATTCACTGAGAAAGACAGGGTAGAATATGCTTCCTTCATTTTACCCATAAGGACAGACTTCCTTGTCACTTTCCTGAAGCCTTTATTTACTGATGAATATTGAATTCTGAAATAAACTACATAAGGATTCTCTATAATTCAAATAGACTGTAAGCCGGACAAAAGATTGATGATGAAAATAATCCTGATTTCCTAATGATGTTATTTCCTTTTCTAGAAAGTGGAATAACTAATAGCTTATCCTATGAAGACATAGGTTTGTTTGTCATATATTCAATGGGTACCAATGCAAACTTTATCAGTAATTTATAGAAGGAAAAATATGGATGGGGTCAGGACTGACAAGGACTCAAGGACGTGGTTTGGTAGCAGAGTTGACCCTCCATGAGAGATGGCTGTCTAGTGTGTATGCACCTGTATTCTTGATCAGGTTTTCAGTGGGCAGATCATAGTAGAAGGCATCTGTCAACCCTGGCAGAAATGAAGGAAGTGATAGTGCCTCATGGTTACAGGAGGGTTATCCAGCTTAGAGCAAGACCTTATGGAAGATAGACTGAGGCTCTTGGGAAAGGGAACTGACAAGCACCAGCCTGAAAGTCCAAGTCCCACCAGCCTGGTGGACTTCAAGGAATAGCCATTATATGAGTATGGAGCTAATTATGGAATCAGGAAACTGGGAGAAATCCCATCCTGTGGCCTGGTGAAATGCAATGTGTAGAAGGAAGACTGTGCAGGTGGTGATCCAGTCTTGAGGCAGCAAACCCAGGGTGTTGGACCAGAGAGTGAATCCAGTGTTAGGATGATTCACTGCTGAGGAGATCCTAAAGTTTATCAAACCTGAAATCACAGACAATAGAAAGTTCCGTATTCAGTGATAGATGTTAAGGAGCTAAGCAGATGTTAACAATCCTCATTAATGCACTTTGGTGATTACATAGAATTAAGCATATATTTGAAACTTGTTGCTAGCTTATATATGCATTAAAGTTAATATGTTGGAAATCAATGGCATTAAATATGAGAGACGTACAAATTCATAAGAGGGGCGTATAAAAACAATCATATAGCAATAAAATAGACAACACAGGCAAGGCTGGCTGGGAATTTATTATATGTAGGTTCCAGTCATCTGAAGCAAAGCTGTCATTCAGACACTGAACCTAGATGTTATTAGGCAGATTCCTTTATGACAGTTTCTCTATCTTTGACCTAGCCCTCCCTGCAACAAACAGAAACCAAAAGTGTATTACTATTTTCAGTAGTAAAATTCAAAGACCGAATACAAATGATATTAAATGAACCAGAATTTTTAGAGAGGTTTCAGAGCAGCCATCCACCTCCCACTAACCGAACTACCTTTAGTCTGTCAGACCCATCCTACACAATTACATTTCTTTTCAGTTGGCTTGATTTTAATTCATCACAGGGCAGGACTGACCCTGGACTTGTGTTTGCACGTAGGTCATCTTTAGATTAGCTTTACCTTGGTGACCTGACTGCTGCCTCCAGCATAATCTGGTTACTCTTGGGAATATCAATTAAGGCCCTCAATCACACTAATTAGAATGTCTTCTGAGTGTTGCTTTAGGAATTCAGCAGCTTATCAACAGGCAAATTGGGAAAGTCTAGAGGTGTGTGTAGTGTTTTTAATAGCCAAAAGCAATTTGGGAGGCCAGAATGCTTTCATATAGCTGAGTAGTATAGCTGAGGCTGAAATTACTGTGCCCAAATCCGCAATGAAATTTCTAGTTGCTCTTGCTGACAAGGATTAAGGCAGAATTATTAATTACTTTTATTAATGACTTGTTGCAGACATAGATAGCATGCTGATCAAGTTTGTAAATGACACACAGATAGAAGAATAGCAATTGTTGTGTGAGGATAGACGCAGAACCTAAAATGATTTCAAGACAGAATTTACTGGCAATCTGTGCAGCTTCTGCCAGACAGAGTGACCTCCATAAGGCAAAGCTTGATGTTGGTATTACTCCTCTCACCAGAAAACTTCCATGATTCCCTAGTTACTATTTAAGTCAACCCAAGTCTTTAGCTTGCTCTTCACAGGGTGGATTCTAATGCTCCCTGCTTCCTAGCAGGTATTAGTAGTTCTCTCCTAATACCCTGTACTTGAGCCAAACTGAATTATTAAGTTTCTTTCCTGTTTATGTCCCATGTTCTCATTATCTTTGAACATTGTTTTCTACCAAGATTTTCTTTTTCCTACTTTTCTTCCACCTGGATTCTCAATAACCAAACCAGTTCTTGCCCAGTTTGATAGAACCTCTTGTGTTTAGCCTTTAACTGCCTTAGCAGGAGCAATCTCTTTCCTTTGCTAATCTCCATTAACACTTATCTATTCCTCTCTATTTTAACATTTTTTACTTTGTATTGCAGTCACTTTTTTGTACACAGTTAAGTTCCTGCTAGACTCTGCTTACTGCTATAACTTCTATCTGATAAATCTTTGTATTTTCAAAGTACCTCTGTGTGTGTGTGTTTTATGCATAGTTGATGGTATTGAAATGGGTTGCATGAGAGGCTTAGCTACTGCAGAGAGTGTTTTACAAAAGGCCCTACATCTTTCTGGCTAAAGGCTCCTGCAGTTATTTTATAGTAACTTGTAAACAGAAAATGCTCAATACATTTTCATGGTGCTTGAATCAAATCCAGGATATTGCACATACTAGGCAAGTAGTCTACCACTGAACTCTAGCCCTCAATGTATGTTTTATTGAATAAATAAGTGACTGATGGTGAGAACTGGATTTCTCTAAGTTAATGATGTAAATGGATGTTGTGGCAAGAAAAAGACATTTAATCTCTGAGATAAAATTATTGCTTGCAATACATTAAAGTCACCTGCAACTTGTGTGCAGCTCAGCTTAAGAAGGAACCATGATGTGTACCAGAGATTTTTGTTGTTGTATACTTAAGACATGGCTGGGCACTCACAATGTGCTTCAGGATGTCCACACAGCCTGCATTGCTTAGATAATACCAGTTTCTAACTTTTGTTTCTATGTGTCCCTCATAAAGAGTGGCCCATTTAAATTGATGTCATGTAGACACATTGTTTATCAAGTACTTCTTTGACCCTTTATGTTGGTTGGGCACTGTGATTGTGAAACTTGTACCATAGGCTGTTTGAGAGACTAGACTCTCTTGCCAGCTCAATGTAGGCATAAATCCCATCTCTGTTACTTTCTAGGAATATGATCTGGAAAAGCTACCAAGACCTCTGTAACCGTTATGTGGATGTTGTCTTCAAAGCAGAAAGCAGAGGTGTTGAGCATAGAATTTCTGAGTCATCTCCACTTTTCAGTATTTATAACCCTATATAGGGTTTTTAACCAGTGCCCAGGCATGTCTATGGGTAGTAGGAAAAGAAATGCTGCACAGAGTTGTTAAATCTCTATGTCATCTGCATTAAAGATCACACAACCAAATGTGAGCTCATGGTTCTTGTTAGTTGGCAGCTCCAGCTGGTTATCAATAGGAAGGCTAAAGATCACAGAAATTGGACTCCTGCCTTGTCATTTGTCTCTTCCAGTGAGAAGAGCAAGAGCCGCAGGGCATGGAGTTTATATATTTTCCTTTAATATAAATTCAGAGTATAGCAGACAGCAGACTAAACTTGAATCCAGGATTTCTAGGCTTTCCATTCATCACTAAGAAGGAAAAGTACCTGGGTCATACCATATTCCCCACTGGTAGAGAGACCAAAGGACTTTAAGTGGGTAAGGTCAAATGTATCTGCCTGCAATGTGACCCTTGGTCAGAAAATCCAGATGAATATTCTTTATGTAGGCAATTAGAGGTCAGTGTTAAGGGAGAGTTTTGGAGCCTGACAGCTGGAGTTTGATTGTGGCTTTGCCACTTTCTAGCCAAAGGATCTTGGTTATGATATTTAAACTTGTTTGAGCTTCTTTATTTATATGTAATGTGGTGATTAAAAGGCAAGCAACAAAACAAAATCAAACCTACCTTACTGCTTGGTTCTGACAACTAAACCAGTAAGTATTATATAATTCTTGGAATAGGGCTTAGTCTATAGACAGCATGAATTCATACTAGTTTTTGTTATTTAAGCACTTGAGGGTAGCAAGTTCTTTCCCTTATTTTTGCATTTATGTTCACAGGATGGAGCTTCTTTGGTTTGTAATGAGTCTGTACTTCTATGGGATCCTGCAGAGTGATGCCTCAGGTAAGTGAACTGATTTTTACAATCAATTAAAATTTAAGTCATATAGAGGGTAATGTGCCCACTCTTTCTGAGGATGAATTTAAAAGAACATGATGTTTTTATTTCCATTGCCTTCTTTGGTAGCATAGAATCATAAATGTGAAAGAATCAGACTTTTGATGATGGAAGGGACTGCTGATATATCTAATCTTCATGGGATAAAGTCCACTAGAGCAAGGAATCTGTTGTATATAAATACAGGAAAATTTCATCACCCTCATATCCAAGCCAATGTGACTTCTTTCCCTAACTTTAGGTCCTATGAGAAAAAAAATGACGATGATGTAGCACAAAACCTGAACCAGCAATGGAGAAGGGCTTGGTGGTTAATAGTCCAAGGCTGTTATTGGTTCAAAACAAACCAAAAATCATGAGTTTCTCTCAAACTGTTTCTATATGGGAAACACAGGACTTGTCTGTCTGCTCATTCTTCCTTTGGAGGTGGCTTCATAAGAGGATCTTTATGAAATCTGAATGAGCAAATTAGTCATCATGGCCCAGATCGTATGAAATAAGAGCCAAAAGGGAAGGGATAGGAGTCCATCTTTTGAGGTCTTCTCTTATCTCCAGATTGCTGCTCAGAATCACCTTTGGGTACCTCTCTAGTGGTCATCTAATTGCCACCTATTGTGCTTTTGAATGGATCAGAAGTTTAGAAATTTTTTAGTACGTAAAACTGAAAGTTGTTTCTTTGCAATTTCCATACATTTCTTTGGTTCACTGCATGAACAAAAGAGAAAGTACCTAATATAAAGGTTCTTTAATTTTAATATGGGAACATAAGGATCCTCATTTAAAAAAAATCTCACATAAAATTCCTCTGAAACCACAAAGCATACTTTGAATATCATTGCTTTAATTCCTATTCTATGCAAGAGGCCTTCAGAAATCTAAAGTCAGTGATTATGTAACCATGACACCCATGCTCTGCCTTCCCCTGTTCTTCATGTGGCATGGATTTGAGTCCTCCTTACATCCCGACCATCTTTTGCTGACTGCATTTCAGTTTTTCTATGCCACTTAGAGCATTGTATTAGAAACCAAAAATAGCTCCAAAGAAGGGGTATAACTAGGACAGAGTACAGCTGAAAGTAGAGGTAATGTCTAAACTTGTTGGCCCTTTGGGACTTCACAGAGGAGACGATATATTGCAACCAGGCCTAATATTCACCAGGGATATGGTAGTATGCAGCTGGGATACACTAGTATATCAGGATCTGTTCTGCTTGGATGAGTTTCTGTCTCATTTGCTTGAGAGTGACTTGATTTTCTGGTTTTTAAATATGCTGAATATAACCTCAGATTATAATTTGTTTTTATTATATTATTTCTATGTTTGAATGTTCCCTGCTCATGGAAGCCTTCCTTGATCATTTTAACTCAAATAGTCTGCTAATCACTTTATCTCTCTGTCCTGCTTTATTACTTCACACCACTTACTATTTCTTGACGTTATATTAACTCTCTCTTCTGTCTTTCCCTCTGTTCCTTCTCACCCTCTTTTTCCTCCCTCGACCCTCTTCTTCCTCCTCAGCTTCCTTCCCCTTCTCCCTCCCTGCCTTCCTTCCTTCTTTTCTTTCTCTCCCTCTCTATTCCTTTATCATTCTCTTCCTCTTTGACTTTAAGCTTAGGGCTTAGACTTTTTTACTCTGTACTCCAAATACTTGTAGTCATGATGGAAACATAGAGACATACTATGTGCTGAATACGTGTATGTTAAAGAATGAATAAATATCACTTCATATTTTCCTTTTTAAATTGGCCAATTTCATAGTGGAAGTGTTTGAATCCATTCTAATAATTGATCATTGTGATTTCATGTCCTACCTCACTTGGAAGAAAAGGAAGAGGTACCCATGTTACTCTTACTGGGAAATCAAGGAGTTCCCAAAATTTTGTAAGGACTGGTGCCTCTCCAGTGGTCCAGGCAGTGCTGCCTTTCTGAATGACTTTTAGTGTATTCATCTGAGGATCCCCCTTCCCTGCAAATGCTATTGTTAAGTGAGCTCTCTACCCAGGAACTATGACTCATAATTTTGCCAGGGGAAGCTGACTTCTTGAATAAGATAAGTTCTCATACCAGCCCCATTGAGTCACTGTGGGAGCAGGAAACATGTTGTAATCCCCTCAGCCCATCTGGCACATACTCATTTGCCTTCCTTATGAAGAGGTATATTGTGTCTGTGTCAGGCTGTACTTCCTCATTGGAAGGAGGGCAATAGAAAGGAAGCGTTGTTGACAAAAATAAAGTAGGCAACTGGCTCTGGGGATAGAAGGAGCCATTGCACATCTTGAGGGGCCAAGCAACCTCTCTGTGCATGAAGGTATCACCTTTTACAGTGATGGGGAAGCCAAACAACTTGTTGGTCTTCTGTGAGGGTTTTGTGCTTTATGTTTCATCTTATGGAAGCGGAGACTGAAATAAGGAGAAAATATCCTGAGAACGCTAAAGCACTCTGTGCCTATGACATCAGCAAGAGACTTATCATTCTGGGCCGATCCATTGAGCTCCTTTTCGAAGAGGAGCTCCATTTAAAAAATTATTATTATTCTTGTTTTAGCAAAAGGAACGATAACACCTTAAGAGTACAGTATCACGCAGAGTGTTTCAAGTGCAGAGAAGTAGTCTTCAAGGCACAAAGTTCTGAATTCAGAATATGGTCTTCTGGTAGCAGAACTGTGATGTCCTTATCCCTTTAAGAATGAGCAAGCACCATTTCAACTTCTAGATGGTGATAAAAGCAAATAAAAATAATAATATAATAATGAAGACATAGCATTCATTATTTCATTCTAAGGAATTAAATCTTGAATAATTATAATAGTGATAATATAAAGAGGTAGTTAGAGTAGTGATGAAGTGCCCTTTGCTTAAAAAGAAGTTTGCAGTTTGCATATTCAGTGTTACTTGACTGTCATACCAGAATTCTGCTGTAGTCAAGACTGCTGTAACTCCATATTTTGAAAACTTCAGATTTAATTGGTTGAGTTACCCAAAACCAGAGAGTTAATACATAGTGTCACTGTGATGTCAACTAGTTCCTCAGTTCCCAAGACCCATATTATTTTAGTAAATATACTAGTTATTTTAACTAGTAGAGGTACACTTGAGCATCTACTAATAAATAATTTGGAAAGAAGATTATGATCCAAGGAGTCATAGGAAATCATTTTGCTAACTGTTGAAGACTACTTTGTAATAGGTTGCTGTACTATGTAGATAAGAATTATCTTTAAACCCATTCCACAAAGCCATTTTCTTCAAGAAAAAAAAATGGTGCAATCCTAAATTCAAACCTCAGTGTCTCCCTTTTTACTTACTATAGTTTTCAACATTTCTGCTACTAAACTCAAAGAAGTTTCCATTTATAACAATTTGAAAGGGAGACTTCAACTCATCACACCTTTCTCTTTTTGTGTGCTTACCATTGGCTGCATGTCAGAAATTTAAATTGTCAAGGCTGCCTTCAGTGTAGAAATAAACATTTGGAGCCTGTGGCTTCAAGTTGGGGAGATAGTGAAAATGGCACCATATCCAGGATGGTGAATTTCAAAAATACTACCAGATCAAAAATATTTGCCATACAGCTCACATAAATATAGGCAGTATGTCATCTCCCCAAAATGTGTGCACACTCTAGGTCTTTAGCTATGATTTTTTATTTCTAAGCCAACAAAAAATTAACCATGGACCAGGTACAGATGTAGATTTCACAGAAATCTCATTGCAGATAGGGCTAGAGGTTCTTATACCCATTTTGTGTTTAGGAAATGAAGAGCCAGGAAGATAGTAGACGTACACAAGGCTTATAATGATGTGCCTGATAGAGGTGGGTTTTGAAGGCTGGTTTGACTCCAAAAACTGCTTGTTTCTTTAAATCACATTGCCATCCTAGGACTTTGCTATGCTAATAGAAGTAACATTCTCTAATTCCTCTCCCATTATGTTGTTATGAAAGTCACAGAGGGTGGAAATAATCTATTGATTTATTGGGCATGTGTTACACAATGTAAAATAAACAAGTAAAAACACTGGATTGCTAGTAATTAAGAGACATTGGTTTAAGTTCTGACTGTTTCACTCTGTGAGCTGTACAATGATATTAAAGTCATATCATTGCTTTTTGTCACCTTCTTTTGCCTGTACACCAAACCAACCAACTAGCAACAACAATAAACTCCAACCAAAATTGGCCTTCTTGTTTTTATTAAGGAACATTATATATCACAGATGTATACAGGGTATGTATAGTCTTCCAATTATTTAAATAAATGGCTTCTAAAAAAATGGTTTTACTTCTTTCTAAAAATTATAGGTTTGACCATTTTATATGGTACAACCCAGGGTTAAAAAGGGAAAAAGCTCTTATTTTCAGGGTCCTGAAGTAAAACTTGAAAGAAAGAAAGGAAAAGAAGTGCCAAATAGCATGCCATGAAAGCAGAGAAGATATTAATCCTTTGGGGAGGAATTCTGGGAAGACTTTTCAGTCAAAGAATAAGGGCTCTAATGTAGGAGGAAATACATCTCTTATTTGGAAAGAGAATACTTCAGGGCAACTGAAAGCATAGTGTGAAGCTATTTCAAAACCAAGCTGGAAAGGTCGGTTGGAAAAAGACTGTGAAGGGCAGGGATCCCTTCAGGAAAAGAGAATACTTGTGTTGAGTGTATTTAATATAATTGGCTAGTGTGTTTTTTAAAAATTCTGTCTTATTTCTGTGAGGACATATAATATTTTTAATGCTATGTAATGGTTCTTTCAGCTTTTGGTAAGAATTCAATTTGTTGCCAGCCTCAATGGCTTCATTTTATTGAATGTGCTTTTTGAAAACTCCTCACTCAAATGTACTTGTGACATTCGGTCCTGTCTCTGTTGCCCATGACTGGTCATATTGAACACTCTTCATTTCTATGCAATTTAGTCCAAACATTTGGAGAATGTATGAAGAATACCATTACATTT